TTTGCAGACCTCAGACCAACTGTTGTCAGTCTTATGTTAAAGTATGGGACTTACAATGTTTGCAGACCTCAGACCAACTGTTGTCAGTCTTATGTTAAAGTATGGGACTTACGATGTTTGCAGACCTCAGACCAACTGTTGTCAGTCTTATTTTAAAGTATGGGACTTACGATGTTTGCAGACCTCAGACCAACTGTTGTCAGTCTTATGTTAAAGTATGGGACTTACGATGTTTGCAGACCTCAGACCAACTGTTGTCAGTCTTATGTTAAAGTATGGGACTTACGATGTTTGCAGACCTCAGACCAACTGTTGTCAGTCTTATGTTAAAGTATGGGACTTACGATGTTTGCAGACCTCAGACCAACTGTTGTCAGTCTTATGTTAAAGTATGGGACTTACGATGTTTGCAGACCTCAGACCAACTGTTGTCAGTCTTATGTTAAAGTATGGGACTTACGATGTTTGCAGACCTCAGACCAACTGTTGTCAGTCTTATGTTAAAGTATGGGACTTACGATGTTTGTAGATCTCAGAGGTTTATACTTGAGTAAGCCCCAGGTACCTGTGTACTATATACATTTCACAGCCATCTTCCCCAAAGTGAATGTTGCACATAAACTTGCTCAAAGACTGTGCTGAAAGATAATTCCATATATGTGTATTAATTCTATCCTCCTAATAGGCAAGTCTAGATATGAGGACAGTACATTTTAGGGATATCTTGTTCTTAATATTTTTATAATCTAGAAACTATGATTTAAACTAATAATTATTGCTTTAGAGACTTGTACAAGCCTAGTTGCTCCCATTTGCAAATACCTGGTGTCATTGCTGTATTCCTCATTGTACAGGGACTATTGTAGTTTTAGTTGGAGATTTTTCTATTTAATTTTGGGTAATTTTTTTATTTTGCCTTCTGACGAACACCACCTGTTACCTGAAATTTTTTTGAAACAGATGTGCACCTGGCATCATTAGTATATATCGTTTACAGTAACATGTATTATTTTGTAAGAATTTTTTATATATACTCACACGCAAAAGAAACGCAAGTCAAGTATGCAGTATACATGTTATTTATTTTCAACAGTGAAGACAAGAAATACTAATAGGGCTAATTTGACTGAAGACAGTTTAATGGATTAAAAGGCAGATGACATAATTGTTTTTTTCAAATGTTAAGGGCCTACACAGTTTCAGGTCAATACCCCAAAATGTCAGTCAATACCTGGTGTGACCACCATTAGCATTGATTACTGCCACACATCTCCTGTACATTGAGTGGATCAGACGATTTGTGAAGGCCCTAGGGATCCTCCTGCACACATCCAGAGCAGCTGTGTGTAGTTCATCGGCAGTTGTAGGGACTGGGCGCACATTGTGCAGACGCCTTTGAACCTCATCCCACAAGTGTTCGATGGGGTTCAGATCAGGGCTGAGGGCAGGCCACGGTAGAACACGGATGTTGTGTTGTTGCAGAAAGGCCATGGTAGCTCTGGCAACATGGGGACGAGAGTTGTCCTGCGCGAAAATGTGTTGTTGATGTTGTGCAAAATTTGGAACAACGTGGGGTCTGATCACTTGGTCAATATACCGCTGAGCAGTGACGCCGTGTCCCCGACCTTGACCAACATTCAGAAAGCACATGGGTTCAAGTCTCGCATTAAGTCCAATCCCTGCCCATATCATGACGCTAGGTCCACCCCATGGATCCCTTTCCACAACGTTTCTGTCAGCGTAACGATCACCTCGACGCCGCCAAATTCTGACTCTTCCGTCTGCATGGGAGACACAAAAGCGACTTTCATCAGAGAAGATGACACGCCTCCACTCACGATGACGCCAATTGCGATGACCCTGTGCCCACTGAAGTCGTGCTTGTCGATGCCGTGGTTGGAGAACAGGAAGACGTGCTGGTCGGCGACATATGAGGTTGTTGGAACGGAGACGTCGGATCAGTGTCCTGGCTAATGTGTCGATTATGTGTTCCTATGGTCTGTCGAGCACTTTCACTTGCAGTTAGGAACGGATGTCGCTGGTGTTGATAGGTAATCTGCCGATCTTGTCGAGGTGTGGTGACCCTAGGACGACCGCTCAGAGGAAGGTCACCTGTGGTCTGTGTAGCATTGTATCGATGCAGGAGATGGTAAATTGTTGTTATGTTACCGTTGAAATGATGGGCAACATCTTGGACAGACTCTCCAGCTTCCAAACATCTGATAGCCTGGTTTCTCTGAATTTGAGTTAGGCGTGGCATTGTTGACCAAGGAGTGGTTGGTCCAAGAATCAGCCACAGTTTTATACCCACTACAGTTCGTGACAGTTCATGCATTTTCGATTTCGCGAGAAATGGGTGCATGATACCCACATATTCATTGAAATGGTGCATTTTGGCGATTCGTTTTTTATGTTGCTTTTTTACTCGGGGCTTCCAAAATGCAACCAAAAATATTGATAACACCATTAGGCTTCACTTCATGCTAAAACTCGTATCAATTTATGGTTCCGTGTTTGTTACCTATTCGCTTAAAACCACTTGCGTTTCTTTTGCGTGTGAGTATATCTTTATATACATGTATGTTATACATTGTTTCAGTGGCTGTGACTATCAAAACATTTCAGCTGCAACTGAAACCCACCTGTTACTTGTCAATTTTTTGAAAACCGATATGCACCTGGCATCGTTTGTACATATTGTCATTGAACAGAAACACTTGTATTTTTAGTGAGAGTAGTTTTACTTTCTGGATTTGGGTGACAAAATTGCAGAAAATATATTGACTTATGCCCAACACCCAACCTGCCTCTTGCCAGTATTTCAAAACAGATATGTACCTGGCGCCATTTCCTCATTCCAAATGGTACTGACATCCATGTATTTTTGTGTGTGAGAGTTTTTGGATTTCACATTTAAGTATAGTTGATAGCTAGTCTTTTTCCAACCTCTTGCCTGAGGGAAGGCCTACCCACTCAGTACATCCTTCTCAGATTTCCTCCACATCATGGCTCCAAATGCTGTGTAGATGGATGTAATGCTAAATTATATGCATCCTCAATTTATAGGTTCTCAGATCAGTTAATGCAAATTTATACTTTCCTTTCAAGCCAAATCTCTTTTTTAAAGATTAATCTCTCTTGTTCTTAAATTCACCTTGTGTTAGCCTATCTGGACATTAGTTGAGGGTTCTTGGAAATAAATCTAATCTTGAAGTTTGATTCAAAGGCATTTTTTTTAAATGTTGTATATGAGTGGTGTTATTTTTGTCCTCAAAGCTGAAGTGGAAGATAAAAACAGGGATCGTTTATCATTGGGAGTCACTTGTAGCTGTTACCAAGTACTTGTCACAAATCTAGAGTGTTTTTTACAGTGCAACATATATATATATATATATATACACACACACACATGTGTGTATAAATCACTATCTTGCATTCAAGTTACGAATCAATATTTAAACATGAAGTACAAGGTTTTTTTATAAGAGGCAGTGCTAGAAATGAGAAATCCTGTCACTAGGCTCATAGCTGGTTGTAACTTACAAAACCTATAAATAACGTCCTTAAGTGTAAACATTAAAAAAGAAGAGTAATGATGCATTTGATAATCTGTCAAAATAAATTTTGAATATTTGATCGCATTTTTTAAATGTCTTTTGCAGCAAGGGGCAATAAACAAAGTTCTCACCACAGGCCTTCACTATCAAATATCACATATTTGCATATAATTACTCAAAATGTATATGTGTGATATTTATTATCTTAGTAAAGATGTTATTGTGGTTTCTGTATTTTTATATCATATGTGAAAGGTTTAGTACTGGTAAATACAGAATGTCATATTTTGTTGAAATGAAACATTGTGTCATACATTACACGGTGTACAGGAACTGCTGGGCACAGGAAAATGTACACCCAAGTTTGATGGTGGCTAAAAATGAAACAAACAAGAAATGGTTATGCGATGGTGATGTATTTGATACGGGTATCACAGCTGGGTTTTGTACCTTAAGTTTGCTGTGTTCCGGAGACTGTTTTCAGCCAAGTACCATTTTGATAACATTTGTCATTTTGGGGTTAAATTCAATTTTCAAATGTATGCTTTCTTTTGCCTGATAGTTTGGTTCAGGAATTAGATTTTTCAGTTTACCGATTTGACATACCAGAGCCAAAAGCCACAATCATAAAATAAAATAAAAAGAGGTGAAATATACTTTGTATATATGTTTGTAGCTAGTCCTGCTTGAACAAGACGCAAATGTTTGCTATATTTACATTTTCTGTCAGTTATATTCTGTTCCAATTTGTAGCCAAATCGAAGTATTGAGAACAGGATAGACACAATTTATGGATAACAACTTCTTTAATACTGTAAAGGCGATGTTTCGGTATAGATCCTTAAACCGTTGTCAAGCAAGAAATATACTTTATTTGTGTGATTGCTTTTTACTAAAATAAAATAAAATATGAATGATACAACTACCAACATATCTAACATAATGACTCTAAATGCACTGTGTATGTATTGCCTGTGGTCATGGCAAAACCGGCATATGTGTATAAATAGTCCTCTGAATATGTTATATCAAACATCCTGCACTTTTTACAGAATGTGAATTTATGGTAGCCAGCAGAACAGACTGCCCCGAACAATAGATTATCTTTATTGATCTAAATAAATTTATTTTTAAATTCATTTCTTCCCAAGCTGTCAGCAAACTATAAATAAAAAAAACGTGGGTCCATATTAAAACTGTACATTGTTCACCTTATCTGCTATTGATTAGGTAATGCACTATATTTTGTGAGAATGCTTTCAGACTTTGCATTACATTACCAAGCCTAGAGCTTGTTCCCTCCTTAAGAAAAGCAACGTGATTACCATGCTGGGAGTTTGATTGACAGGGATATATATATAGCAGCGGCCGATCTGCCTGGACCAGACAAGGACCATACTACTTGTGTTGCAGCCATATCACGGTATTCATTGATGATTTCAGGGAAGTATCGAGACGCTGCATACCCTCTTGCCATCATCGTCGACGAACCTCAGCTCGCAGCATCGCCGTCACAGGGACCCCTCAGCCTCATATGCAGCTACCGGGTTTAGTGTCAGGTAGGTACCGCTGTGAGGGAGCATGTTCTTTATGAATGGAACACCACTGGTTCTCAAGACGGTAGAAAACATGAGTCAGATCCGGCATCTATGGCTCAGGTGTTGTGGAAATTACAAGAATGGCTTCGTCCAGGGTTGTTGCTTTTTTAGTAACTCAGCATGCTGATTTCGGTGTATTTTCACAGTTGTTATAACACCTTGATGTTAAAACATCCCAAAATATATTATTTGATTTTAAAGATTTAAGATTAACCAATTTTACTTGAATACAAGTGTCAAACTGTCCTTTGGAAGGGTTATGTAAATATATATATGTATGTAAATATATTATATTTATACATTATATTGTGTGAAAGATGAATATATTTTTAATATTAATTTGACAGTTGTTTGAGTCAGTTAATGTATTGAATTGTATTGTGATGAAACAGTGTTATATTAATATCATATTTTAAAGATTTCATTATTAACCAATCAATCTTTCAATGTGTGTGTCAAGTCTCATTTGTATTGTGTGATAGGGGAAGTATTGTTTAATGTGTATTTGACTGCTATTTGAGTCAGTTAATGTATTGAGACTGTATTGAGATGGAACATGGTGTTGCCGGTGAGTGTTGCTGTTGGTATGACACGTGGGTATATGCACGGAGATGTACACCAGTGCCAAGTGTTCCAAGTCTCTGTGGTGAGACGTGTATGTGTGGTCACAGATAACCTGTATGTTTTGTGTGTGTGACATAGTCTTATCACTAACTACAAGAATTGATTTGATCAGTACAAAGAAGGCTGGGACAGTTGTCCGATATGTAGTGAGGTTGTTTGCATGAAAGAGATTATGTGTGCATTATGTGTGTGGGTCTGTTTTTCTGTTTTGAAGAATAAAGGGGGAGGGATGTTTTTTTGCTGATAAATTAGAATGGTGAGATGAGGTGAGGTGTGGTGAGGTGAGGTGAAATGGGCCTCAGCAACATCTATGATTTTTGTACTTATGTAGTGACGTGCATTCATGTTTGTGTGTGTGTGGCTGCTTGTACTAGTCCGGACTAATGCTGGTTTTATGGTTCTAGCCCAATGAGATACCATGCTGCAGTTTAACATGAATATCCCACACAGACACAATATACTTAACTCAAGCTGACCAGTCCTTGTTTTAGCCCCTTATTGCTGAGTCCAAGCCAAGGTAACAACAAGTACCATCTTTAACATTGTTTGGTGTGACATGGCCGGGGATCGAACCCCTGACCTTCAGCTCTTGGCAAACACTCTATCCACTAGACCACAATGTGATAAATTTGAATGATAACGAAAACAAAATGATTGTGCTCCATTTGTGGCTGTGATGATGATGATGATGGTGATAGTGATGATGATGATGGTGATGATGATGATTGTGATGATAATATTGATGGTGATGACAATGGTTATGACAATGAGTGAGTGAGTTTGGTTTTACGCCACTTTTAGCAATATTCCAGCAATATCACGGCGGTGGACACCTGAAATGGGCTTCACACATTGTACCCATGTCGGGAATCGAACCCGGGTCTTCGGCGTGACGAGCAAACGCTTTAACCACTAGGCTACCCGACCGCCCCGTTATGACAATGATGATGATGATGATGATGATGATGATGATGATGATGATTATGGGTAAGAGGATGATGGTTGAGATTGTGATTGAGATGATACTGGTTGTGGTACATCAGTGGGTATACACGTTCTCACTTATCTTGGGACTATTCAACACACACACACATACATGGCTGCATGCACATCACTATATAAGTGCCATCATCTTGAACGCAACATTAAGCTCCATTTCACCTCATCTCACCTCATCTCCCCTTCAGATATATATGATGCTGACAGTTCTTATAATGATCAGGAGGACACAAGGACTCCTTGACTTGAGGCAAAACTAAAAAATCGATTCAAGCAACGGTCCAAACAAACATCAAAATCATTCATCTTCAGTGATTTCTTTACATAACGGTACAGTTTCCCATTAATCATTTATCTATGCATCGGTTTGAAATGTTAATTTTGTAATTATTATTTGTGAATGCCCTACCACCTCCATTAATGGTTCCACAATGGTTGTAGTTGGTCATTAAAGACTCCTTGAAAGCAACTGGGAATGAACGGAACAGACCAATAGAAGTTGATTTTACACCACATCATTTACTGAATGGTAGCCAATCAATGATGTTTTCCTCACAACAACCGAGGTGGTAACAACAGCACTGCCATTCTACTCATACAGATATTAAATATTAAACATGGATTCTATTTTGGATGAAACATTCCCTTAATCTCTGCATTAATCCATATATTGATCTATATTTCATGCAGCGTCATTGAATATGGATTTATTATAGATTCATAAACAGAATTACTCGTAAGGATAATAGTTTTGTCTTGACGTGGATCTCAGGAGATTGTTTTTGGTCTAAATGAGGGACATTATCTGAGTTACTCTGTCTTGTTAGCGTTGTTAATGTTTGAAGGCTTAAAAATAAACTTTATGAGCTGTGAGTTAGCATTAATTGGTCATCAGTGTCCTGTTTGTGGAACAGTTTTGTCAATAATTGGAACGACTTTAAGTTCATGATGTAAGACTTGAAAGGAAGTCAATAGGTATGGTGTTCATGATGATAATCCCAAACTGAGTGAATGAAGACTTTGAAAGGCATTTAGAAGTGATAAACGTAACAAAGAGAATTTATGGATGTCAACTGCTATATTATGAGGAACACAACGTTTCGGAGTATATGCTTATAGTAAGTATATACTCCGAAACGTTGATGAAGGAGTAAGTATATCTATACTCCGAAATGTTGTGTTCCTCATAATAAAGAAGTTGAAATTCCTAAATTCTCTTCCTTATGAGTGAATGAAGCATGAAAGATTTGCATCATATATGCAGTAGATCTTGTCACACAGGTAGCGCAGTACAGATCCTCACCTTACTGAAGTCACAGAATAACTCTTGAGTAGAAATTGCCTTTGTGTTTTGTCTTAAAACAAGGTGCCCAAATTTCAGATAAATTTGTCTGCTTCATGATGTGGTTAAAAGGGAAGTTAATTATACATTGTACTTGAAAAACTAGATATATTATGAGGGCTTCATTCAATATGTAGGTGATTTCTCTTTTCAAGTCTTTCCCTTTTGCTCTGTCAAATTTTTTGTATGAATGAGCTTGGTTTGATTCAGTTTGAACAGTTTTTCAGTCATATCACAGTATGCTTAATGTGGGAGGAAAACCCAAAGTCATCCAGGTTTTAGACGTTTATGTGGGAGTAAATATGTAACCCCTGAATATTTTTTCTGGAGGAATCGACATGCCAGGAGTATTAGTTCCTGTGGAACAATATACAAGGGATGAGGACAGTATTTTCTTTCCCTTGGGCAATTTCTACATATGAATTTTATTCCTCCTGTGTATTTATACCATTGCACACGGGGCGGTCGGGTAGCCTAGTGGTTAAAGCGTTCGCTCGTCACGCTGAAGACCCGGGTTCGATTCCCGACATGGGTACAATGTGTGAAGCCCATTTCTGGTGTCCCCTGCCGTGATATTGCTGGAATATTGCTAAAAGCGGCGTAAAACCATACTCACTCACTCATTACCATTGCACACATTTACCACTGAGGTGAAACTGGACGGTACTCGTGATCAGGGAAAATAGGGGAGTCGATCTGATGATCAAATGTTTCTGGTCTATTTAAGGGATGTAACAGTGAATTGCCCCTCATAAAACACATGTCTTACTTCTCTCAAACTGTACCCTTGAAGATCCAGGTTACATGCCATGATATAACTGGAATATTGTTAAAAGCGGGTTTAAACCCAACTTTTCTCATCGTCGTCCTCAACATCATCATCATTTATCTTGACACTTTGAAGATCCGGGGTAGAATAAGTCTTCAGCAACCCATGCTTGCCATAAAAACTGACTAAACTCGCTGTAAGAGGCGACTAACAGGATCGGGTCGTCAGATTTGCTGACTTGGTTGATGCATGTTATCGTATCCCAATTGTGTAGATCAATGCTCATGATATCAATCACTGGATTATCTGGTCCAGACTGGATTATTTACAGACAACCGTCATACAGCTGGGACGTTGCTGAGAGTGGTGTTAAACAACAAACAAACCAATCTCACAAACTGCGGGGATTATGAAAGGGAAATCTGATCCATGTGATGCCTGCGTGAATGACTGCCCAATAGCTGTGACAGATAAACTGGAGTAGATGAGACTGGTGATAAAGTAGATGACGACAGCCGAGTGCACATGCTAATGGACTGGGTACAGTGCAAATTGATGACCTAGAAATAGTTTAATAGTTAGCGGGATTAGCTTACAGTTTGTAAAGTCATTCAGTTGTAAAGTCATTCAGTAGCTCGTACTGAACTAAATATATGTCTCATATGTTTTAATTTTGCTCTTGATATTTTGCTGTATGACTTTATATTTTAAAAAAATAGAATTGAATGTTGCAAATTTTAAAGCAATTCAGGTGAGCACCCTGGCAACAGGATTTTTTTATGACAAAAATATTTTGAAAATTGACAAGTTAGTGAATTAGTAGGGACGGCACTGTTTTTAGCAATATCCAGGTGGTATCACCAAGAATGGGCTTCACATATTGTACCCATTTGTGGAATTGAATCTGAGTCAGCAGATTAACAAGTGAAATACCTGAACCACTTGGCTCCCCACCCACTCTAATACCTACCTTCCTGAGACTATAAAAATGTGATTTGAGCTTGCCTTCCCAACTGACCTCCATACCATTATCCCTGCGTATATATGTAACTAGCGTGGATATATTTGGCTCTTTGACAAAATAGATCACTCCAAGGGGAGATAACCTATCGCCCTGACCTTTATGCTTCCATTAAGTTAGATATTCCAGTCGGATGCTATTTCCGTCTATCTTGACATAATGTATATACACACATGGAGGTGTATGATATCACAACCCTGAGACCT